GAACTTGAACCTCTTTATGTTGGGGTTCTTTCTCTTTTTGCTTAACAACTTTCTGAGGCTTTTCGGCTGCTACTGGTGGAGTTATGACTACCCCCAGCTCCGTAAGAGTTTTAGCATTTGGGTCAGAGGTTTCAGGATATTTATAGTGGTACTCATTCCCACTTCTTGTAGCGAAAACTTCCTGCTCTTCATCAGAAAGTGATAAAGCTGCTTGTACATATATTGAGCTTACATATAAACATACAATATATGTAGGAACTATGTGAAACTATGAATTAGCAATTGGTGAAATGGGGGGTAAAAGTTTGTAGGGATTAACAAAAATCAATAACTGAGCGGACCTGATCCGGCAACGGTTTCCAACACTACGAAATAGAACCCGAAGGTTTTTACCCATCAAACATTTGCAAGTGGCCTAATGAACAATTTTTAAAAGATAAACGTGCTTAGCAAATGATACTTCCATCCATTGCTACTGGAAACATTTGGTTTTTTGGATCCGTAGCAACTGGGTAAAATGGACATAAATGTAATACAAATTTACCAGAAATCTGATGAGATCTGTGTTGGGTATTAATGTTGAATGAAATTGAAATTTTGGGGTTATCAAAGTGTTAAAAAAAATACCTTGGGTTATCAAAGTGGTAAAAATGGGTAAACTTTGGGGTATCAAAGTGAAAACAAGCCTTTGACTGGAACTTCATCATCTTTGAAAGAGTATTCCTTCGGGAATCTGGGCTCCGAAGTCTTGGGTTGCCTCAGAGGTTGTTGATTCTGATTTGGTGCCAACTGGAAGGATGACTGCTGCGGTTGTTGTTGCAGCGGCTGTTGTGACGTTTGATGTGCGTCCACAGCGGCTACGGACCCTCTTCCTCTGCCTCGAGGGTTAAAGTTTTGCTTTTGATTATTAGCTGGTGGCAGGCCTCTCTCCAAATTCTTTCTTTTGAGAAAGCGTTCAGCTTGCTCACCTCTCACCTTCAATTCTTTCCAAGTTTTAGAGGGGACAACCCCCATTACCTGTAATACATCCAATGACAAGTTGTTATGACACGTTTGCAGAATAAATTCCTCTGTGAGTGGATCTCTGCAGTTCACCGCTTTGTCCCGGAATCGTTTGACAAAGACATCAACCGACTCCCCATCCTTCTGCTTCTCATCCAACAACGTGCCAATAGAGACCTCCGTGTCGTCGTCGAAGAAATTGGTGAGGAATAATTCTTCCATGTCTTCCCAGCTAGTGATACTCCCAGGTTTAAGGCGTCGGTACCAATCGAAGGCAGGCCCACGAAGGGTTCCTACGAATGACCGGACCATCAGGGCTTCGTTCCCGGATATTGCGCCGAGATGCGACTTGAAATAGATTAAGTGTTGAGTGGGTGAACCTCTGCCATCAAAAGGAGTAAAGTTAATCAAATTAAATTTCGGGGGATAAGGAATTAGGTCCCACTCCCTCGGGTACGGGTATGGAATGCCCGTTTTCTTCACTTCTTGAGCCGTCATCAGAGCGTTAACTTTGCTCTCGAGATCATGCATCTTCTTGTCCTCTTCCTCACTCTTCTTCAAGTAGATCTGTGGAGGTTGAGTGGATGACTTGGTCGGATCACTTCCGGAATTATCTTTATCCGGAGGAGGATCGTCGAAAATAGTCTCATCTTCTTCGTTACGTCGGCTGGACTCTGCTTTTTGGCTTGATTCTGGTTGGTGTTGCTGAACCTGCAAATCTCGCATTTGCTGCATAGTCAACTCCATCTCGGTCTTGAACTCAGCTCTAATTTCTTCGCGTTGTTTAGCCAACGCTTCTTATAGTATGTGAGCCAGTTGATCCGGCGTGATTGTAAATGATTCTCTGATTCGCCCTACGCTGGATGCGGTACTGTCTGAAGCTATAGCAGAGCAAGTGTCTGACAATTCTTCATCTGAAGATAACCCCTCGTGCATTCTCTTGTAATCTCGACGTAGGTTGGCTCTTCTTTGTAACCGCGACATCTTTTGAGAAAGACCCCGCTCAACTCTTCCTCCCGGAGAGAAATCAGGATCGGGGTTAACTAACTGTTTCTTTCTTTTGTTGGTCATGTTGATAGTGACCTCAGGGAGCTCATCTTGTCGGATTACAGGTTTCTTCTTATTGAAACGTCTCATTTTGGGTCTTGACGCTTCATTGGACAATCTTTGAAATACGGAAACTTTTGTTGAATTATTTTTTGAGCAACCGTATTCCGTCAGCACTGCCTTAATGAGTCTCTCGCATGCGCAATGAGACTCATCTTCTCGGATAATCCTCTTTCTTGAGTTATTTTTCTGATAGTACAGCTCATCATTATTGTGATTCGAGCAACCTATCTTTTGCTTCTGAACTTTGTTAACGTGCACAGGACGACTGGTCGTCACCTCTGGGCGATCCAAAGTTGAATTTTTAAATCCACCCCTTTGCGGGAGTGGGGTTTTCATAGGTCCTAAACGAGAGTGAACTGGTATTCTCTCGTTTTGGACTGGAGTAATTCTGACAGGAGGGTGTTTACGACCCCCTGTATAAGAAACCACTAAGGGTTTATTCGTTGGACTTGGATCTTCTTTGACTGGGGCTTTACCTCGATCGTCAGCCGAAGGACCGAGGCGATCCGCCATAGTGATCTTGAATTTTGATAAATCTGGGCTAACCCAGGGTTTCACTGGTGATGTAGTAGATATTGTTGTAGTAGAAGGACCAGGATTGGGTGTCGATGGACCCGCAAATGTGGCTTTGCGACTGCGATGAATATCACGACCAAATGAAGTGCCGCGACAGTCATTACTGTCGCGGTTGAGCAAAGTGCCGCGGCAGTTCTGACTGCCGCGGTCGAATAAATTACCGCGGCAGTATGAGCTGCCGCGGTTAGAGTTTACATCCTTCTGTAATTTTTGGGCACCTTCAGTTTTTGGAACCCAAGCTTTGCAGTTCTTCGATGGCTTTTCAGACACCATTTCCTTCTTGTTCCTCTGCGCTTGTTGACGAAGGGCACGAGCGCGAGCAGCCTTTGCCTGACGTCTTTGTATACGCTCTTTGAGAGTAGAACGGGCCCTTTTGACCAGAGTCCATTCCTCCGTTGTAAGTTGTGCAGAGATGTGATTAGTTTGCCATTGAGGCAACTGGTTCACCTTTTGCTTCCTCGACTTTAAGTCCGTATAGTAATGGACTCCGTCGGTTTGTTGCATGGCCTTAGCCAATTGACGAGCGCGGCGTTGACGTTGTCTCTGACGAGCCCTCTTTGTCATTACCGGCGCATTTTGGTTTAGAGACCCCTGAACTGGTGAAGGGTCATTTGGAGCAGAGATGTTGCAGGTAGATTCCTGAGCCATGACTTGGCAAGAATCTTCATCTGCGGTCTTCATCTGAATTGAAGACTTGAGAACTTTCTTGGGAGAGGAAGTCTTCCTACACCTGCGAGGTGAGGGAGATTTTGAGGATGAGGACGACAGGTACTCCTCAAATTTGGCCTGATCGAACTCATATTCAATCTCCTCCGTGACAATGATCTTAATCGGCTGCGACACTGCGGCCTCGGCAGCGAGGCCGCTGGCTCCCACTGTGGTCGCCAGTTTGTTTTCAGCGAAAGTTGACTCCATTGTCGATTCCATTAAAACTTTGATGTGTTTACAGGAAAATACAATGAAAATAAGCGAAAATACAACTCTCGAGAAAATAACACAAAAATTGTTTATAGGAATCACCGAATGATGCTTGTCAAAGGGTGAAAATTCTCTCTTTCTTCCTCAAAATCACCAAAGGCTTAAGTCTCTTCTGCTCCAAAATGCTCTCTGTCCTTTATTTCGTGTATAGGGAGGTATTTATAAGGGTCTAAGTGCACCACAGTTGAAACGGGGGCAAAATAACCGACTGGATGTTTTCTCTTTGGCCGCTGCAGTCTACACTGCCGCGGCTATTGGCGCGGCAGTATAGGCTGCCGCGGCCAGGCAGTATAGGCTGCCGCGGCCAAAGAGGCAGTTACCAGCACGTTTCATCGTGCTTGAAACCGCTCTCCCACGACCTTTAACCACTTTTTTTCGTGGTTTAACTGCTTGTCCACGTCAGCACACGTTCTATTTCTGATACGCCGCCACGTGGACTTCAAAAAATCATCGAATAACTGCCTTATAACTGCCACATCACCCCCCATAATAGCCGCGGCCTCATGAGCTGTCGCGCCTAAGGCGCGACACCTTTAACTGCCGCGCCTAAGGCGCGACACTCTGAACTGCCGCGCCTAAGGCATGTCACCCTGGCTCGCTTGTTGGTGTATTTGTCGTTGTGTCCACACTGCTCTTTTCTCATCCTTGAGTAGTGTTCGGATATCTATGAGCATTTTTTTTTGACGCCTACAGGTATACCTTCATGCTTGTATTTCTTGGAGACATTATTGTAATGTATTTGAGCTCAATGTGGACTTCATGTATTGTGGTGTTCCTTAGCACCTTACTCATGCTGTCACATTCTGATCCTTCAGTGCTATTTGGTATTTTTGTAAAATGTTTTGAGGTTCTATCTCCATTGATTTTAAGTCAGTGGTTGAGCTCAAACTTATGAGGTACGTAGAGATATTGTTGGAAGTGTCTTGTGTGCTATTTTCATGTCAAGTAAAGAGGGGGTTTAATATGACATTGACTAGGAGTAATGGATGAGTTAATAAGTTTGGACCTACTGTTCATATAAGATGACCCGCTTGGGTAAGTGCGGATCAAGCTAGCCTATCAATTTACAATAACAGGTTTCTTAATGACCAATGGAGTTTCTCTCTGATGTAGAAGTCTGTCTTGGAAAAACATGCTTTAGCAAGTACATGACAAGTCAATACATTTATATATTTATCAAGCATTAATCTTCTTAGTAGGACACTTGGTACAATTTTAACTATAGTTTCTTTTCTGTGACATTCCCAAGCATCAGGAATTGAAATGTTCACTAACACATCTTTTTATTTACGCCAATATACAACTCTTATTTGCTTGCCCTCATCAATTGGCAGCTGGAGATCCAGGGCTTGTTCCAGGCTCATGTCCCAACAGAAAGGAATCACCACCACTGAATTCCAAATCATCATCTCTGTTTCTTATGAATTACTTTCCAACATTTCCTGTTCAGAATGAAGCCTGCAAAGAGCATTCAGGTGCACTTGGTGAAATGGTTAATGCATGTTACAAAGCATCGGGAAATGTAGTGCCTAACTTTTTAGCAGTCAATTTTTACATGGTATGGCTCCATCTTAACACTTCTCTGAGAAAGATAAATCAGAAAAATTCAGTTAGAAAGGAAATATGAATGAAATACTGACATAGTTGCGACCGATGCAGAGAAGTGATGGAGGAGGTATTTTTGATATACAAGACAGAATAAATGGATTAAACCTCTGTGGATGCAAGACAATTGCTGCTTGCCAGGTATCTCTTGAACCCAAAATCTGATTTTTTGTCTCTTTAATGAACATCATTAAGGAATATTAGATCCTATTTGATATTTTCCTGTCATTATCTGAAGCTAAAGCGATTGTCATTTTTTTTTCTGAACTCACCCATAAAAATATTTCGGTATCCTTTCTCATCAATTTGTACTCTTTTATCTTTTACAATTCTTTCTCAAAATGGAGTAAAATTTGATGGATTCTTACTTCTCTACCCCCACCCCACCCCAAATACTCCAACCACCCCTTTTCCATGTAACCATATAGGTACAATTGTAAAGTTGATCTTTTAATTATGGTCTCAGTATCGTATGCAAATTATGCAGTCATAAAAAGAATTTAATGTTGATAGACTAGTTAGTGGCATCAAACACTAATCCATAACCTAGACAATCTGGACCATGCATTATGTCAAAAACTAAAATTCAAAATTTTAAAACAGTAGAAACTTGAAAAAAATTTAAACAGACGGGCAGTGATGCCCTATCTGAACTGGTTTTGTGACACCCCTCAAAATGCGCAGCATAGTCCTAAAAAAAATAACTTATCAATAAAGTACTTGCATTGTAACGAGTGCCTGAGTCATGGTACATTCCAGAAACTGGAAACTAACTTTCTATGAACATTTGGAATTCTGCATGAATCCAATCTGCTTGATACCTTGCTTTGGATGTTCGATTAAGAAATATAACCACCAAACCCTAAACTCTTTCCTTCTTGTTTGACCTTTTCAAGGTTAAAACAATTTGTTGAACTTTTATTTTCTTTTATTTTTCAGGTGGGAGCTCCATTTGGAGTGTGCAAGAACATCGGATCATCTAACTCTAATCCTCCCCCATCAATTAATAATAGAGGAGGTATTATCTCCGGAACTATAGAATTGTCGGGATCAGCTTCTACAACAGTCCACACTTCTGATCCTCTGTTGGTAAAACTGCTTCTAACATTAACGATTACGGCATTGTTATTGTAGTCTTTATCACTCACCGTGTCACAGTGTGCATTATTTGTTAATGAGTCTTTTTCCCCTCTCTTTTCATGAGGACTTATTTTTCCCTATGAACTGTATTTGTATCAATTGTACAAACTTAAGGGTCCAGGTTGTTTAATTGATTATCACTTCACCACACCACAGTGTGCATTAATTGCTAATGAGAAAAAAAAGTCATGGTATTTTCTATTTCTTTGTTGAGATAAATCATTTATACTTTATATTGATTTAGAAGTATATCATCATGAGGGGGAGTCAAATCATCTTAAGCTTCCTTGTAAGGTTGCTGGTGCAATTAATTTACATGTAAGTTCTAGTGTAAGCTATTATATGTTTCGGTTTTTCTATAGAGTGCCCATGGACACTCTATAAGGGAGGAGAGAGATATAGAGAAATGAATAGCCCATGGGTGAAACACAATAACTAACACGACAAGTCGAACTCTCCACCAGAATTGTAAATTGTAAAGATCTTCATGTTAGTTATTGTACACATGTTGTCGACTTGTCGTAAACTGTGCTATAGTTGAATCTGGCCTTTTTAAAAATTTTAAAAAAAAATATCACAATTGAAAAAATAAAAACCGAATAAAATTTAATGTTTCTAATTTGAAGCCTAAAGCTTGTAGTCTGTAGCTGTCTAGATAAATTGATTAAGCGCTGTTAAGGTTTCATGTACCATCTGCAAACCCACTTAATATTACTGGATAATGAGACCAGTTGAAGGTGTGAATTTCATGATACTCAATCAGCAAATTTAGGAAATGAGAATTCTTGAAATATTGGATGGAGCTAAATATAAGATTCAAAATTCAAAGAAAAGAATTGTATATGGTTTTAAATCGGATAAATTTTAAGCAGGAATTATTTAAAAGGACCAGGCCTCTAGAGTTCGGAAGGCAATGAGAAATTGAACCGAAGGAGCGAAGACTAAGATAAATTGTATAGGTTTGCATGTTCTCGGAAGACGGTGAGAAATTGAACAGAAGGGGCCAAGAATAAGATAAATTGAACAGATTGAACAACCGGTCTTTTTCCTAGAGCTGAATAATTAATTAGGGATTCAAATAGAATATATGTTTAGGTCTAAAGCTTGAAAATTATGGAGACATCAAATAGAAATATATCTTTTCTCGAGTGCTATTCTTTTAAGCAGCGAAGAAAACCATGCGCTCGGTTATATTTATGGATTGGGCTGTCCAACCGGCCCGGCCTGTTTTTTTCTTTTATTTAAAAAAATTATTTTTTTAAAAATAAAATAAAATTTCAAGAGTAATAAAAATTAAAATATGCAAATTTTTGATAATAAATCAATCATATTATTAATCAGTTATAATTATACAATTTACAAATATAAGTATCATAAAAATTAAAATAATAAGAAATAAATTCTTTATTATAAATCATTAACAATTACAATTTTTTTGGAATTTGTCGCATCACAATAGATGAATACATCCCAACTAGGTTGGCACCTATTCATCTATAATACTACCATTTGTAACTCTTTTTAAAATAATTTATCATAAATTTACAGCTAAGAAATAAAAATTATAAACTAATGAGTAATTTCTACTCTTTATTTCTACCTCCTATTCTCAACTCTTCAAGTTTATCTTCAATACTAGCCATTCGATTGATGCATTGAGTTCTCTTCTCGGACCTCTACCAATCTTGTAGGCACATTACTGTCTGTACGGTAGACGGATCTAGCGATGTTCTGTGGTCATCGATCAAACGTCCTGATGTGCTGAAGGCGATTTCGACGCTACTGTAGAAACCTGCATTGTTAGTAAGTCACGAGCCATGATGGAAAAATATAAGATATAAAACTGTTTCATATACACTCCACCATTAGAAAAATATCAAAATCATTATTTTGGGCATTAACTAAAGGTTCAGTTAAATATTGCCCAATTCCAGAAACTTCCATTGATGATCCAGATCTAGATTCATGGCTACCAGTTAGCATTGCTATCATTAATTGCTTATCAAAACTTTTACCTTTGCCTCGGCTTGAACTCGTAGTAACATAAGTAGTAGATTGATGTGTACTTACATCGCATCTACTTGCGTACTCATCATATAATCTTTAAAAATAATATTGAATAGTATTATGATGAGTAAGAGCAAAGTCTGACCATCATCAGTGTATGTTATCATGTTCTCATATAAAGAATTTAACAAATTTTGAAGACCAACATCATTTAAACATGAATCAATAAAAAACCCAAACCCAAAAATTATAGGAATATGCCTAAGATACTTCTTAAATTTTACTTTTCATTTGGAAAATTATATTTCCAAAATAATTATCCATACGATAAATAGTAAAAAAAAGTTTGAATATTTAAAACTTATAAAACAACTTGAGTAATAGTTGGATAATAACAACCAGATAATAACATAGTAGCTTCATAAAAAAAACCTGTAACATCTCTCTTACACTATATATAACTGTTCATTCATCATCAGTTATTCCATACATACTACCAGTGCTAGAATTAGAAGCATAGAAAATAATAAAATCATTTATAATTTCTTTATACTCTCTTGCTACATTTAACATTGCATAGGTGGAATTCCACATGTGGTCAACATCTTTTAGAATTAATCTGGGTTTTAATTTTTTTTCCTTTTACACAACTGTTTCTATTTTTAAGTCTTTGTTCAGGAGCATTATGAACATAAGCTATAACCCTAACATTTTCTATCATGAGTTTAATTTTATTAAATGCATTTTGAACAATTAAATTTAAAATATGGCACATGCATCTAATATAAAAAATATCACTATAACATGCCAGTAGTAAAGATGATTTGATACGATCTACATCTACATTATTATTACTTGCATTATCTAGTGAAAGAGAAAATATTTTTTTAAAAAATTCTAATTTTGTAAGTTCTTCTAGTATTAAATTTGCAATATTAACACCAGTGTGTGAATCTTCAAATACAATAAAAGAAATAACTCTTTTAAACATTTGCCAACTATCATCAATCCAGTGTGCTATGATACATAAATAATGAGTTTGTGCTCTAGATATTCAAATATCATAAGTTAGAGAAAATTTACAGTTTAAATTTTAAAAATAAGAAATTATTTTTGTTTGTTCCTCGTGATAATATTTAAAATTATCACGTTGACAAGATTGATGATAAATTTTTTTAAATGTAGGATAAAAACCATTTCTAATCACATCAAACTTATCATATTCTACCAATTTAAAAGGAATGTTTTTAAGAACAGTAAATCTGATGATGCATTTCTAGGCTTTTATTGTGTCGTAGTTCCAAAAACCAATGCTACTGGATATTGATGATTAGGAGAGTATATATTGACGGACGTTGCCGTTGGAGCTCCGTTGTGCTTTTCTAAATGTCGTTTGAGATGGTTGGTGCCGCTTGTAGGCTGTCTAAAAATCATAATAGATAGCTGATCCTCATCAAAACACCGATGATGGAAGTTACACTCTGACGACTTCCAGAAGGTTACAATTTGAAGACTTTCACGTAGACTGATGAAGGTTACAATCTGACGACCTTTGCAACAACTGATGAAAGCTCTAATCAATAGCCTCCACAATCAACATCGGGAGTTACAATCTGACGACTCTCACATATCAAAGAGCTAAAGCAAAGATTACAAAACGACGATCTTTGCAACGTTCTGATAGAAAGAGACTACAAATCGACGGTCTCTTCAAACCAAGACGTGGAAGTCCTCCCCGCGTACCAGCATCAAGACGCACCGAGTTCATAGCCACGAACGCAGCTCAGATGCAGCTTCCAACGCTGCCAACGCAGCTTCCAAATCGCTGCAAACGCAGCTCAGACGCAGCTTCCAACGCTGCCAACGCTGCTTCCAAATCGCTGCAAACGCAGCTCAGACGCAGCTTTCAACGCCACCAACGCAGCTTCCAAATTGCTGCAAACACAGCTCAGACGCAGCTTCCAACGCTGCCAACGCAGCTTCCAAATCGCTGCAAACGTAGCTCATGTTCGGCCGCAAACGTAACATCTAACTGCTGCCAACGCAGCTTTTAACAGCTGCCAACGCAAGTTCCATCTGCTGCCCAACGCAGCTCGCAAACACTGCGTTCAAACGCAGATTTCACGCCAGAACGCGGATTTTGCGTTTGACTCGTTCAAACACGAGCTGAACAGTTTCAAAACCGTTTTCCACGATCTGAGGGGATCACAACTCCACTTAGGAGCAGATTAAGGGGCGTTTACATCTCACTAGCCCCACTTAGGAGCAAATTAAGGGGGTGGTTACACCCCTTAATCCTTTATAAATAACTAAGAAATCAGCTTAGTTCGGATCCTGGATTTTGGGCTGGATCTTTCATCCTTCTTTTTGGCAGCAAAGAAGAGATCTTGGGGCGGGGGGGGATTGCTGAAGCTTTGGAGATCAGCAATAAGAGCTTTCTTCATCCATGGCTTATAGACCGATTTCGGTTAAATCAACTCTTTCATAAAGTTTCAAACTCGTTCAGAGTTCTCCACAACGTTAAATCGTGAGGAGGAGATACCGTTCCAGTGAATCAAGATGTGCGGATCGTCAACGAAGAGTAAACTCGACGCGAGCATTCGAGGGAGGCACTCCATCGTCACCGTGAAGAACCCAGACTTAAACAAAGGGGAGGATTTGCATTAATTCTCTTATCTTTTGTAATCAGGAAATCCAATTGTAACTGAGATTAAAGGAATACAGATCAATTTTCCTTTATTTCTTTTTACTTCAAATTTTTCCACAAACAAAAGATGGCGACTCTGCTGGGGATTAGCTTCTCTGACGAAGAAGTGGTGGTGCAATCCGATGTTCATCTCACTGGAACAACCGTCGAAACTCTCGTGGTAGAGTTTGATCAAGCCAAGTTTGAGGAGGTTATCTCCTCCGGATCCCTTAGCCCCAAGGCTATGCGCAAGATCCACAAAGTCACCAAGGAGACTAAATCTCCAACTATTGCTGGAGTGCCGAAGAAATTCCTCTCCTTTGGTCAAAATTCATCAAACATCCCCTCCTCTGAAGGACTGGGCTCTGCCTCTGCCAAACTCGTTCAACGAGTTGAAAACTCCACACCCGCGTCAACACGACGTGTCATGGGTGGTAAAAGGCCTACGACGGAGATAGATCCAATCAACACCGATGATGCCCTTGCAA